AGCACTGAGGGTTGCGATCCCGTTGCCGGTCCCGGTCCGGTACGGGCGCGACACTGAGGGTTGCGGTCCGTTGCCAGACACACACACAAAAAAAGAAGACAAAAAAGGAAAAAAAAAAAATGGGTCCTTGATTGTAAGGCCAGAGAATTTGAACTTGTATTCTAGTTAGAGGTCATTGAAAATGTTTTGTTTTGTTTTGAGCAAAGAGATATGATGTAAGTAAATTATTGCAGTAGGATTCAGTAATAAGAAACTAAGGGAAGTAAGACCAATTATAGTAGTCTGTAAGAGACAAAATAATAGAATCTGGGCATAGTAGCAGTGGAACTGGAAGGAGGGGTAAGTGGAGAAATGGGAAATAGGAGAGATGGCTCTGGGATGTTAGGGAAAGAGGACACTGTAATGACACATTGCATTAGAGGTGCCCTGTAGTTACTCATAGCGTAATTATCTAGCAGATGATTGGAAAGGAGGGTTATAACGTGGGGGAAGTTACAAGGAGCTACCAATGTAGAAGTGAGCTGAATGAAGCCCTGAGAATGAATAGATGAGGCCACTGAAGGAAAGTATTTAGAGAGAGAAGGAAAGAGGAAACTAAGGACAGAATGACTGGTAACATGACTGTTTAGAGGGTGGGAGAAGAAAGAGGAGTCAGTATAAGAGAAAGATGGAATAATCAGAGCTTTTAAAGAACTAGGAAAATGTAATGTGGTAAGAAAGCAAGCAAGAGTGAACCTGTGAGAAAGCCAGGTAGTAAATTGAGAGTGGAAAACTGGTTGTCAACAGCCATTTTAAGAAATGTAATACATGAATGAAGTGATTGAGCAGCAGTAAAAGTCCAAATGAAATTAGATGGCTTATCTTTGTGGTGGGCTCAGCACATTTAGTGGATAAAGTGCTGCATGAGATTCTGGGAGCAGGGTAGTCACAAAAATGAATAGAATATGAAGAGTCCTACAGCCTAGTCGAGGGGAGAGAGACATAAATGGATAATTGCACCACACCATGTGGAAAGCATAGTGAGAAGTCAACATTTCATTTTCTGGTAGTACAGAACATGATGAGGGCAGAGGGGGCCTTTCCTGGAGGAGGTGATTCTGGCTCTGAGTCTGAAAGGATGCCTGGGAATCCAAGGGAAGGCCTTCCAGGCAAAGTAAACAACAGGGAGTGATGAGAAGTTGGTGTTGTTGAAATGTCATGTAAGAAGCCGGGCTGGAGAGCAGCCCGGGGAAAAATTGTGGAAATGCTCGTAGACAAGAAGCTTGAGCTTTATCCAAGGTGGTCAGGGGGCAGCAGAAAGCTACTGGCAGGTTTTAAGCAGGAGTCAACATTTGAGAGAGAGAACTCTGGTAGCTGTGAGGATTTGAGGGTGACAAGATGTCCATCAGGGATGCCGTTTAGAAATCCATGATGGTAATCCAGGTGAGAGAGATGATAAAGCCTGCATTATAGCACTGTGGTAGAGATAAGAAGAGTTGAAGACACCTGTCCTGGACTTTATCATCAGCAGGAATGCTTACAAGCACTTGTATGACCCTCATATCACACTCTCTATTCTATCTATAGGATCTCTTTATAAATCAAATGCATCACTCTGAAACATTTTCAGGTTCAATAATGCACCTATTTTTTCTGTCTTTTGAATGGAATCTTTTGGCAGCTTTAGCTCTCCAGCCAAAATTCAGAAATAACTGGAAATCTTCTGAGACATGGAGCTATTTTATTGCCACAAAGCCTACATTCTAAAGCAGTTCATTCAGTGCCTATATAATCTATATCAGTGCTTCTCAAATTTTAACATGCAAAAAAATCCCCTGTAGAGCTCATAAACACAGATTCCTGGGACCCTCCCTTCTACATATTCACTAGGTCTAGGGTGGAGCTGAAAATGTGAAGTTCTAGCAATCTCACAGGTGGTGCTGATTCTATGCTGCTGGTCCACGGACCACACCTTGAGTATTGTGTTAGTCTGTTTCTGTTGCTTATAACAAAATACCTGGAATGGGTGATTTATAAAGAAAACAACTTATTGCTTACATTTTCAGAGGCTGGGAACTCCAAAGTCCAGGGAACACATCTGATGAAGGCTTTCTTTGGTGGGTCCTTCAGTGATGGCAGGGTATCACATTGAAAAATGGAGGAGCAAAGAGACTCTCCTCTCTCTTCTTTGAAAACCCTCAGAACCACGCCCCTGACCACCATTATCAATCCATTCACTACAGCATGGCCCTACAATCTAATCACCTCTTCAAGGCTCCATCTTTCAGTTACCATAATAGGATTTCCCACCCTCTTAACAGTCACAATGGTGGCTAAGTTTCTAATACATTAAACTTGGGGGACACAATTCAAGCTTCAGTGAATTTGGGGGGGGACATAATTCAATCCACTACAAGTAGCATGTGCTACTCTTACACTACGCTTACAAGGAGAGTGATTTTTCTGGTCTCCTCTATAGACTATAAGAAGTAACACTGAAGAGCTGTAGCAAGAAGAGAGAAAACTGTTAATATCTCTCTAATGGCAGCAAGAAGTAGCTACAGAAATGGAGGAGAGAGAACTGTTTAGAGCCCTTTAGTCTTGTAATAAGAACAAGCACTACCATTTATTGAGACCCTATCATATGCCGGGCAGTGTGCAGGTGCATCACAAATATGCTCTCACTGAATCCTTAAAGCAACACTGCAAAGTGGATATTATGGGCCCTAATTTTACATTTGTAGAAACTAACCCTCATTTGGTACCAGTACATGATTTTAGCTAAGGTCTTCTCACAAACAGCACTGTCATTTGCATCTGGTTACATCCAGTTGCAAAGCCCGTACTCTTTCCACTTATCAAACTGCATCCTGAGGTTAAACTAAGCTTCACTTCATTCACTTAATTTCACCACAATAGAACCATTAATCCTAATGCCTTTGAATCATTCAGTCAATATTATATTTTGTTAAAGAGACAAGAAAAGACATTTGTTTGGGGAATATTGTAAAAGAAAGTGGTTAAAAGAGAGATAGTTTGGCATTTAAGAATTTCAAACATTAGTTATTAGGAAACTTAACCTATGTGGATTCTTTAACAGTGCTAGATAAATGTACTCTTGGCTGTGGTCGTGACTTATTGTGCAGAAGAGAAGTGGTCCCACTTAGAAATCTACCTGCTCTTAGTAGGAAACAGTTCCTCCAATATTATACCACAACGGACAGATGGCTGCCCACATTCTGCGTTCCAGAAGCCTACCCGCATTTCCCTCTTCTTCACCACCAATGCAGCCACAAAAACTGACTGAAGTTTGGGTCATAATATTGACACATTACAAAATATTGCAGGTACTTTTGTTACTACCCAACTGGAGAAACAGAATGCTTTGGGGAGTTTCAACACACTGAAGAAAGGCAAAGAGGATACACTCATCAGTAGCTGTGAGTCTGCAAAAATCTTTTGTGAAATGGAAACTGTTCTCTTAGCCCAAGTGTCTGTCGATGTTGTCCCAAAAGGAACATTGGGATTTCCAGTAGTCAAAGTAGTTCATAAAGAATTGGGAGCAGAACCCAGATCAGACAATGACAGTCCTAGGGACGAGTTTTGCCCACACCGACCAGGTTACCTAAAGGGACTGGCCTCATTCCAGCAAAGCCACAGCACTATTGCAAGCCTTGGGCTAGCCTTTCCCATATTTAACCAAAAGTTAAGCCATAAATAGCTCCCAAAGAAAAAAATCTCTTGTGGTTTATTTAATGCCTTCTAGTTATTAAAAAATTCTTTAGTTCAGGGAAATGATAAGATTTATTATTGTTTCCAATAGCACCAATAGCGCTGTCCAATGCAACTTTCTGTGATGATGAAATGTTTTGTCTGTGCTGTCCAGTACAGTAGATACTAGCCATGTGTGCTACTGAGCACTTGGAATGTGGCTAGTGGAACTGAGGAACTGAATTTTTATTTAATTTTAAATAGTTTAAATAGCACAAATAGCACTACTATTTTAGATATCACAGGTAGAATAGAATAGTGTTTAGTAGACTGTATGACCAAAAAAGATCAGTGATAAAAAGTTGTGGTTACTTTGTTAATTACAGTTAAATTAGGAAGTGTTTCTTATTTGAACATGTTTCACACGTGAAAATTATTTCTCCTTAGCACAGTTCCTAAGGTAATTCATGTACTTTTCTCACTTACATTGGGTTCTGTTTTAGTGTAACTGAAGACTATTTGGTACCTATATGCTGTGGGTTATATGAACTATTAAGTGGAGTTCTCATCCTCACTGATGTTATGCTTGAAGATGTGATGGACAAGTTTATTCAAGCAGATACACTTTTAGTCCTTGTTAACCACCCATCACTAGCTATACAACCTGGAGTTATTAAAGTAAGGGTAAATACTAAAGTTTTGTTTTCATCCAGAAAAATAAATGTATGTGTTAATTAAAAATTTGAATATATATGTTAAAGTAGACCTAAAGCTTTATTTTATACTTAGGAATAATGAACTAATGTAGTTTGTTACTTCTTACTCATGTTTTTGTATGTATTATAATCTAATTTTAAATCCTTCTTATATTGATTCATATCAATGTTTTTTGAAACTACCAGTAAATTCACACACATGAACCCTTAGTAAGTCTATTTTGCAAAAATTACAAGGAACACATGATTCACTGGAAATTTCTCCTGCAGTGTAGTATCAAATTTTAGGCTTTTACTTCAGATCTTAGCTCAGATGTCACCTTGTCAGAGGCCTTCCCTGATCACCTTATCAAAATCACTTCCTCTGGCCCTACTCCTTATTTATATTCTATGACAGCATCCTATTTATGTTTTGTAATTATGTTTCAATTTATCTATATACTTGTTTTTTAATCTCCCACACTGAAATATAAGCTGCATGACGGTAGGCATTTTGTGTCTAGTATATAATAGGTACTAAGTATATGGTTGAATGAATGAATGTTTGATATGAAAGGTTTCCATTAGAAAACAACCCAGTATTGAAATGGGCTTTTAAAGATTCTCATTTTCTTTAGTTTGGATGTAGTATTGTTTAATCACTTGCAGTTCATCCCAGTATTTATTGAGCTCCCATTTCATGTGCAAGGCACTGGGCTTGTTGCTATATGGTATATAAAGAGGAGTAATATAAGCCACTACATTCAAGGAGTTTATAGTCTAGTTGGGAAGAGAGTCATGTACACAACTAAGTAAAAAAATGTAAGGAATTCTGTGATGAGTGCTGCAGTAGAAGTATTAATAAAGAATAGGAGCATGGGGGAAGTTATTCTGAAGGGGGAAATAGAGAAGGATTCATGCAGAAGGTAGGGGTACTTTGTATTATGCTATAAACTTAGAAAGCTTTCTAAGTAGAGAGATAAATAGATGTGTGTTTGGGAAAGAAAAGTCTATCACCACTGTGAGGGAGTGATAAAAGGGGAGAGAGAGTGGGAGTGTTCTACATTAGCGGGCTAGTATAGTAGTCCAGGGAGAAATGATGAGTTCCTGATCTGGGGTAGTGGGAAGTCAAAAGACAGATTTGAGAGACGTTCACTGGAATGGGAAAGAAGGATCTTCATAATTAAAAGTGGGGAATCAGGAGTAGAAAAGCCAAAAGTAAGTTTACTTTTGAAGTCTAGGAGTATTGTGCTACTGTTCTTTAAGGTTAGAGCCATGGAAGAAGTAGGTTTGGAAGGAAAAGTAATTTGCTTTTAAGAAGCTAGAAAAGGATGGAAATTCAAGCCTGTGCTCAGGATAAATAATGTGTCAAGAATAGTAATAGAGGTCTAGGCTATGTGTGTTGTAGATTTGCAGAAAGCATAGTGTACCAGTTTTTTTTCCTTCAGAATTAGGTACAAATATTTTACTTATTGTCCACTAAGGGGCTGCCAGTCTACTTGGTGTCCATTCTTAGCTGAAAATGTCAGTTTTGCCATCACAGAAGTATTAAGATCTCCAAGACAGAGTCACCATTAGCATCTTTCATTTTCATTTTGCTATGGAGGTGGCATTTTCTTTTGAGCTTTCTGTGTTGTTCTATATATATTAACTTAAACAATACTGTCTGATTCATATACATTATATTAAGTTAGTACATTACCCAAATTATCCTAAATTTTTTCTTTTGCTATTAGATGCATATTTTAACAGAGCATCAAAGGAACAAAAAGAAAAATTTCTGAAGAACGTGGCTTTTCCTTGCTAGCCAACCAGTTGTATCTTCATCAGGGAAATCAGGAATTGTTAGAGTGCTTCATTGAGATGTTCTTTGGTCGACTTATGGGCCTTGATGAAGAGTAAGTGGGTTCTTCCCTCCACCAGTTGGTGATCTTTTGTCTTTAAAATTTAGTAAATTCATTCTTAAAATTATCTGGTCACCTATAGGAAAATTCTGCTAAAAGTCATTTTCCAGGTAAATCAGTTTATTATTTTCCATATGATATTCTTCCTAATATAATTTCTTTCTTTGTATTTCAATTACTAATTAGAAACTAGAAACAAATAAATGCTTCATCCAATGAAAGAAAGTGATCTTAATGTTTGGCATGCAGTGTTAAAATGAGGAGGCTAACTGAACAGAAAAGTGGCTCATGTATTCTCAGTGACAGATTCAGTGAGTGCTCTGTGCAGGACCTCCTCATACACCTTCAGGCCCCTCAGGTTATCTGGGAGAAGAGCACATCCCTCACCTGGAATTCCTGATGTACTGCTTGCTGAGATTTGACCCCGGTGTAATGCTGAAGAATTAGCAAAACAGTGCAAAAATAAAATAGTTTTTCTTCCAAACCAAAAGTTTGGCAGAAAAGTTAAACTGTTATTTGTGTGTGATAAAGTAGAGAGAAATGTGTGTCTCCTTATTGTGGAAGACAGATTCAGACCTTGAGGAATCTACTTATTTATTTTGGTAATTTCAGTAGTACTTTTCATTTGCATAAGCTTCTGGCTTTTTCAAATCAATTCTGCATTATCTCATTTGATTCTCATCACAGCCTTGAGAAGAAAGTAGGGCAAATACCACCGTGCATATTTGACACATGAGAAAAACGAGGCACAAAATCCTTAAATAATTCAACTCTGTCACAGAAGCAAATAGTATTGGGACAAGAACTCCAGATTCATTCCTTTTTGCTAGACATTTTTAGTAGCTCACTGTCTCTGAAACGGTATATAAAATAATAATGATTTTCCTGTGCACTTGTTATATAGTCCCCTAAAGCAGAGGTTCTTTGGGATACATAAGGGGCCCATGGATGAATTAAAATGAATCAGTTAAAACCATGAAATTGTATGCATATTTCATCTAAATTTTTGTGTATTTATCTTGGGATGGACTTCTAGCAATAGCTTTTATCTTATTATTGGAGGGGGTCTATAATCTACAAAAAAACCCCAAATTTGTTTTGTTATGGCTTCAAAACCAGCTTAACAAAATGACCCATAGTTGCAATCATTTTTCCTTACTTTGTGACTAATTCCTTCTAACATGCTCTTAATTGTATATTGTTTACTACAGATTTTATCTAGATGTGAAAAGCATGGGACTTTATAGAATTGGTCTGTCATTCCTATTCTGGAACTAATAGAGACTTCTCCATATGACACCGCACTCCTGCATAATGCTCTTTTACTTCTCCACATCTTAAATTCTTGTTCTTTTTTTTTTTTCCGTTAAATTTTTATTTTGTCAATATACACTGTATATGATTATTATGGCCCATCACNAATCCATGATGGTAATCCAGGTGAGAGAGATGATAAAGCCTGCATTATAGCACTGTGGTAGAGATAAGAAGAGTTGAAGAAACAGGAAATAAAGTCCGTAGAACCTGGGGAGTGACTCACCATGGATAAAGGAAAGGTGGTTGTTGAAGGTGGCTCCAGTTGTGCATGGGGAGTGGGCTTCTGCCAAACTAATCAGAGAACACACGGGGAGTGCGTTGAGGGCAGAAAGATGATGCCAATGTAGATTGGTTGCGTTTGTGGTACATTGAAGAAACCAAGCCATCGAATTTACAAGTGTGAAGCTCAGAGAAGAAGGTTAAGCTGGGAGTATTAGTCTAAGAGTCATGTTAGACATTGAAGGGGATATATAAAAACATAAGACACAGTCCCATCCTCAAGGACTAGATGGATGAACCATGTCCTTGAGAAATCATAATATGTAAAAAATGAACAATTGTTAAACCATAGAAATAAGTACAGTTGGAATTCAAAGAGAAGTTAATGTGGCCAGTAATAATAACAACAAAAATCTGTAGTAAGAAATCATAGAGTATAATAACTCACATAAGTGTGCATTAGTATAAATTTCACCATATTTTTTTCTCTTTGAATATCTTTTTTGTCAAAATCTAATAGTTTGCTTTTGAAGTTATGTTTTGTTTTATCCTTTTTCTAAATTTTGCTGTCTCAAAAAATTTTTTGATTATAGATGGCAAGATTTTTTAGGAGAAAGTAAAATCAATCGTGTATACCTGAGGGACTCCAGCAGTGGAGGAAAGTCCCTGACTAGCCCTGGATTTATGGAAATAAATCCATCAGGTTTTACTGCTTCACCACCTGAAGATAAAAATAGCAATGATGAAATCACAACCCTTCCTGTTATAGTTCTGAATATTTACAGAAAATTCAGTTGTACATGTTTTAGCAGTATAGCAAAACCTGATATTCAGACTAAATAAATAGAAGATCAAACTTAAAAATTATAGAATATATGTAAGGGATCCATTTTCACTACTTTCTGATATCAGTAACTCACACTCAATTTAACAAGAGAGACCCAGCCCAGGTCCTCAGAACTTAAAAAACAGGTGAGGCTCATGCCTTCTTGCTTGGGCATTCTCTGGCTCCTCTTACCATAGTCATTTGTCTTTTATTAAGCTTCTGATTTGCTTTTCGATTTTTTTCAAAAGCTTTTTTTGTCTTTTTCTCTTCTTTCTACCTAAACCAATCATTCTAGACAATTTCACTTGCCATATGAATGGCCATCCAGTACTCCAGCCTCACGTTCCTTGACTTGGGGACCGCCATCTCTCCTTATCTAGCAGTCTGCCCGCACCTGTCCTGGACTTTATCATCAGCAAGAATGTTTACAAGCACTTCTACAACTCTTGTATCACACTCTCTATTCTATCTATAGGATCTCTTTTTAAATCAAATGCATCACTCTGAAAAGTTTTCAAGGTTCAATCATGTCCCTATCTTTTTCCGTCTTTTGAATGGAATCTTTTGGCAGCTTTAGCTCTCCAGCCAAAACTCAGAAATAACTGGAAAATCTTCTGAGCCATGGAGCTATTTTATTGCCACAAAGCCTACATTCTAAAGCAGTTCATTCAGTGCCTATATAATCTATATCAGTGCTTCTCAAATTTTAACATGCAAAAAAACCACAGATTCCCTTCTACATATTTATTAGGTTTAGGGTGGAGCCTGAGAAGGTGAAGTTCTAGCAATCTCACAGGTGGTGCTGATTCTATGCTGCTGGTCCACGGACCACACCTTGAGTATTGTGTTAGTCTGTTTCTGTTGCTTATAACAAAATACCTGGAATGGGTGATTTATAAAGAAAACAACTTATTGCTTACATTTTCAGAGGCTGGGAACTCCAAAGTCCAGGGAACACATCTGATGAAGGCTTTCTTTGGTGGG